TGGTAAGAACAAGCTTAGTGTAGGCTCAATACCACTAAGCTTTCAACACCTCAGCTCCTATCAAGTAGTGTATCTCTCTCTCTTACACACACAAAAAGATTGACTCACGAACACACACACCCACACATAATGTACAATACCAGTAACCAGATCAGCAAAACAGACCGAAAGAGACACAAATCTGTTTCTGAAATAAAGAGATAAGATCAGGTCATGATGCGCAGGCAATAGCCCGAACACTTCAAAAGACAACAAGAGCAAAAGCTGGCTAATGAAAAGAGCTGGCGTATCAAAGTGAACTTGGTATGAACTTGCCTTTTGGGCCACAACCAAGTTCAAAGCATCTCCTACTACTCCACCTACGAATCCTGTACATATATACCTGCGCACGCACACACACACACACACACACACACACACACACACACACACACACACACACACACACAGTTAATACTATGTTATTTTAGTAGACAACAACAAAAAATACCACAGCGCAACTGCGCTTACGAATCACAACTTGTGTCTGTGAATTCAGCTGCCATTCCCCCTGGTACATGGTGTTTGGTCATCACAAAGTGATAAACTACTCAGCAATTCATGTAGTTGCACTCCATGAGACTGATCCACTGATTATCTTACAAGTTGAGGCAACACTGAGCATGTGTCCCCTGACAAACCATGTCAAATATGTCAAATAGTTTCTGGATCTGTGAAAAAGTGAAATTGAGAAAATCCTGAAACATGTATGTTCTCAGTATCTGATCGATGTTGTCTGAGATACTGTGTGTGATAATAAAAGATGACTAATCCATTGTCCCTGAATAATACATTCAGTAAATAAACAACTGTCAATGTATCATCACTGGAGTGCATCAGTAAATAGACTGTTTACATTGCCTCATCTTATCATAATTGTGGTGTTAAATTCACACTGATCCAGCTTGTGGTCCAGGTTTTGTACCCTCTCTATGACCATTTAATAAACAAGAATCTAGCTCTGTGAGCTCTTTACTTTTTGACACATTCATACTTTGAGCTAAATTCTAACATCAACATGCTAATATGTTCACAATTACAATGCTAACATATTCATATTTATAGGTAATATTCACCTGGTTCACTATCTTAGTTTAGCCTGTTAGCTTGCTAACATTTGCAAATGACCAACCTCAGTCTAACACAAAGACTGAGGCTGATGGGAATGACAATCTGGGCACCAGTGTCAAAAGGCCCTTCACACCCTTGGTGCACCTCCAACATACGGTTTGACATATTTTGCCTGATGAGATCTCTTCATGGGACTGTTTTGGTCCGTACAGACTGTGAATGTCAGTTTGTTTTGTTACATTTGTTCTAGTGACCTGGTGGTTTGAGGCACTGACCATGAATTGCAATGTCCCCTATATTGCATGTAATTCCCCACCACTCCTTCTCATGTTATATCTCTACTATTGACTCTCTACATGGGGCAACTAATATCTTTACTCTTCTTATTAGGACAGATTTAGGTAATCTAACATAAGCCCCAGCATGACTGCTAAACGTCAACCCAAATAGAGGATATAAGGACAGATATAAGCTATAAGGACAAAGTACATATACATTATATACACTCAACAATAAGGTAAAAAAGGTTAAAAAGAAAAGTAAAATGCCATCGGGCTAATAAATGTAGCAACTCATTTACCTAATGTGCAAGAGGTAGAAGAAGAATTAAACATGTTTTTTCTGGAGCTGTAGATGGAAGTAGCTAAGGAGTCAGCCATCTCACTTCCTTCTCACCTCTGTTGAGAGTTGCACATGCACAGTACCGATGAGGCATTTGCAAGAAAATGGCAGTGGCTAAAAACAAAGTTGATGAGCTGAAGCACAAGCAAGCATTTAAATCATGCTGGAAACAGGACTTAAGTTAGAGGATATAGACAAAACTCCAACTACACATTGCGCAGTTTGCCACAAGTTTGAAAGCAAAGTTTGAAATAAAACAGCAGCATTTTTCAAATACATGTCAAGTTTCTGAAAAACATTAGTCTGTTGTTTGCATAGGGGCAAGTAAAAGATATTTGGGAAGTAGATTTCTGATCCACTTCCCATATAGGGCAAAACCCTGTATATGTAATCACAAACATAATGCACACAAACCCTCCCTTGTCTTCGGAGTGAGTCCTCAGAACGATGCCATGATCTGTTCTTCTAAGCTTTAGTTAAATCTCTCCTCCCCCTGCCTTTGTTAGCATGTTTATTGGCCAGACTGAGTGAGGTAAGGTCAGATGTTGCACAGGGTTGAGGAACAATAGGCACTTCCTAAGGTGGGGATTTTTTAATGTGTGAGCATTTATGTGAATGCTCACACATTGACTGAACATCCCCCCCCCCAGTACACATTGCTCTGATGTGAAAGCATCTTCGTGGTAGAAGTGTGTGTGTGTGTGTGTGTGTGTGTGTGTGTGTGTGTTTTGTCTGTGTGTTTGTACGCAAGTCTGTTGTGGTTTCTGAACACAAAGCTTGTCTCGGCTGTGTGAAGACTTTCAACAGAGACCAGGCATGACTCTGGAAGAATATCACAACCTGTTAAAGACCCAGTGTGTAAGATTTAGTGGCATCTAGCGATGTAGTTGCAGATCGCAACTCACTCGCTTCACATTCCCCTTCCAAGCACGAAGGACGGACTACAGTGGCCATAACATGCGTGAAAAACGCCCTTCTCTAGAGCCAATGTTTGGTTTGTCCCTTCTGAGATACTGTAGAAACATGGCAGTTCAACATGGCGGACTCCATGGAAGGCGAGCCAAAACATAACGATTCATATATTCAGGTGATTAAACACTAATGAAAATATACCTATGAATATCATATTCCATTTCTGCCAATATATCCTCCTAAATGTTACACACTGGACCTTTAAGACAGAGAGAGTTTGTGTATGAGCGGGTGTGTCTGCTTGCCCTGATGCTACTGTGACCCTTAATAAGCGTCTCAAAACAGGGGTGAATTGAAATGAATGGATGAATGTCTAAGCTAGTGTATATGTCATTATGTAGTAGAAAGATGAAGAGACAGAAACAGCGGGAAAGAAACTAAGATGCTGCAGTCGTACGTGAATCTTTAAGATTCAACTGGATGACAAATCCTAGAATCTAATCTCAAGATACCACTGAGCGGTCTGTCAAGTCTATGTTGCCAAACCTCATCATGTCATATGCTGTCAAACATGCTTGGCTCTAATTGAGAGCTGAGTCACCACCATGTTCTGTAAACTGATACGCAATGGTTACACATATGTCATTAGATTTATCTAATCTAGGATCTGGATTCACTTTATGAAGAAGGATTAAATAAAGGCTATATCTAATGATGTTTACATATTTTCAGTAGGTGATAAGAGTTGATAAGAAATTAACCATTTCAGTGACAAATGAGCAAACTCCATCCACTAAAGCCATGAGATGTGGCTGAAAGCAAAGTCTTGTGTTCCTGAAATTGAATTTATGCAATTTGCTTCATTGTAGAGCTGAGATGATTAATCGACTGACAGAAAGTGGCAACTATTTTGATAATTGATTAATTGTTTGTCCTACAACAAGCAAAAAACACCATGGTTTCAGTTTCTCGAAAATCAGAATCTGAGGCTTTTTCTTGTTTTATATGATAGAAAACGGTATATTCTGTTTTGCACTGACAAAAGCAACAATTTAAGACATCAGAAATTGTGACATGCATTTCCTGCTATTTCCTGAATAAATAATTAATCTAGTATTGTCAAGAAAATAATCAGCAGCATTAGTACTTCCTACTTCACTGTGAATATTTGGGAAAATAATCTTAAATCTAGAGTCATCTAGAGTCAGACTCAATCATTTCCTCTGCCTACTTAATCCTTATCAGAGTTAAGCTCTACTGTATATATCCCAGCATACATTGGGCGAAAGGCAAGACCACATTCACATGTCACCAATCTCTGGGCTACCACTGGACTCATTTGTTATCTGGAAAAAATAAATAAATAAATCCTGAAATAGATGAAAATCCAGTACATGGGATTATTTCACCACTGACACAATGTTTTCATGCATTAAGACAGAATATCGTAATAACTAGATTCATGGGTGGACACACATCTGTTTGTTGTATGTCAATGTGCAGGTGTTTGGGAATTCCAGCACATTCCAGCAGCCCCCTGGGGTGGCCGCACCGTTGGTATCACCTAATTGATGCCTCCTTTGGCTGCCGCTGACGTCGCTCCAATAGCATCATGCCATGAAGTAAGCCCCCACTCTCTCCACTCCAATTCGCATGCACTTTACAGAGCCACTGCGCTGCTCACACGCCAGCCCGCTGCAAACACTCACGCTGAAATAGCCGTGCATCTTCCCTGTAATGCTGCCAAACAAAAACCAGAAGCACACACCAGGAAATAATGCTCTGACAGATGCAAGAAGTTACATAATGAAACGTGTGAGAGATCCTCAAATAGGCAAGCCGTATAAAAGAAGGTGTTGTACTCCTTATCTGTCTGGTATTGCCATCACTACTGCAAAAGGGACCATGGAAATGAGCTGTCACATCACTCAAACCTCCCATTTGCAACCTCACAGTCCAAAAAAACAAAACAATCAAGAGCTCATCAGCACTGGAATCTAAGAGAGGCAAAATATAGGTATAAAGCTGAAGAACTGTAGGCAAGTGTGGATGCAAATGTTGCTGGAATAGGGAGTTGAGTGGGGACCGGTGGGGAGCTCATCGTCCAAGATACCCAGTCCTCTAACGTAAATGGCAACTTCCCACACTGCACAGTAGCGTGTCAGGAGAATAAAAATACTCGCTTTATGCCATATGTGCGCACAGTCTACACTGCCGACGCACCGGCAGCAGCGCCGGGCGTCACACGGAGAGGGACCCGCTGCCAACAAACCAAACCCCGGCAAACAAACACTTCACGTCCACTCTCACTCTCACTACGTCGCACAGTCATCAGCCGCCGCCGCCGCCCCGCTTACCTCCGATTGTGACCCGTTCTGTCTTTCTTCCCCTTCGGCCTCCTTTTTCTGGCCTGGATGGCCATCACTGCCGGGGTGAGGTTACGTTCATCCACGGGCATGACCGACGTCCGAGACCGGGGAAAGGGTGTAGGAGGGACGGACGGGGAGAGAGAGAGAGGAAGAGAGAGAGAGAGAACAAACACACATCATCAGGCTCTAAAGGCTGGCTGGCACTGGTCATTTATCGTCGTTTAGCATGCCCCCGGTAAGCTATCTGCCAGCGTAACTTCCGCCACCTTTTTTTTTTCATTTACAAATACAACAGAAGTGCGGTAGCATAGCCAGGTCAGAGGCTGAGGGGGGATACGCACCTTTCCTGGAGCTCATGTTTCCTCCTCTTCCCCTCAGCAGGAGCGGGCAGCACGGTGGCAGCAGCCGGAGTCTCTCTCTCTCTCTCTCTCTCTCTCTGTCTCTCTCTGTCTCTCTCTCTCTCTCATACACAGACTCAAACACACACACTGAACCCGAGCTACCTCTCAAGATGACACGCGCTCCCTCTGTCGTTTGAGGCGGGAGTCGCGTGCACTCCTGCCTAGACTAGCTGAAGCACAAATTAATATTTTACCTAAATGTTAAGTATTTTATATATATATGGGAGGATTTATGCCTTTGTTAGACAGGACAGGATAGGGGGAAAGAGACAAGCAACAGAGGGCCACAGGCAGGACTCGAACCCCTGACCACTGCAGCAGGTTCACGGGGTGTGTCCACCAGGTGAACTATTAGACCTAAAAATCTATTATTCTTAGAAAAACAAGAAAACTAATGTGTGAAACATTACCGACTAGGATGATTATTGACAACCAGTTAGGAATGTCAACGGTTAACAGTTAATCGATTAACCGCCAATATTTTTGACCAGTTGCATGTTGGACAAAGGTTAATTTTTACACACACACACACACACACACACACACACACACACACACACACACACACACACACACTTAGCTTAACACATTTGTAACTGCTTACTAACCCTGACGAACTGCTAGCTACCTAACAAAGCAGAACTGCCTAACAGGTTATTTATAAGTTAGTCACCAATTGGTCCTGTGAGCGGATTACTGGTTGTGTTGCTCTTTTTCCTCTCCATTCACTCCCAATGTTACCAAAACAGGTCTCTGAATCACACTTTGAGCACATAAACAAACAACTCTGTTAAATACAGTTTGGTCGCTTATTTACAATCATACTATAATAACAATAATAGTTTGTGAATTAAGAGAATAGTACCTTAATTGTAAATAATAATTTACTATTAAGCATTATTTTACATGTTAGTAGAATCTGCTATTATCTTGTTTATGTGATTTAGAGGTCCTGTATTACCAATGGGACTGAATTGAGAGAGAGAAAAATAACAAACCGTAATCTGCTCACAGGAGCAGTTTTAACAGTTTTCACCTTAACCAAAAGTTCTCTAATTAATTCAAAATGAATTAGTTAATTACCTTTTAATATCCTTTCATGTTTCACAGAATCCACCCAATACAATGTCATCCCATGTAGTTAATTATGTTCCATCTCCATCTCAGAGGCCTTGTTGATATTGGCACCAAACAAGATACCTAAAATGCAACACAGAGCATTGAGAGGTTTGTGGACTATGACAGAACCAGTACCTTCATCAATGTCAACGATGCCTAAAAACACTTTTTTTAGGAAAAAACAATGTAAAGCAGATTCCACCAGCCAGTGCCTCTCTTGAACAACATATAAACAACTTACCAGACAGGCTATGTGTGAGGACAGGCACTACTCCGGTCACCTGTGTTACCTTTGACACCAACTACCTGGGGTTGGACCAAGACAGATGAGGGTGTGTATGAACCTCACTGACCACCCTAGCAGAGGCATCAAAAGCCTGTGATAAGCTTGTAGTGCATTATGGTTTATGTTAAACACTGCAAGTGCAAAGTGCAGTGGCATCACTAGCTTGCCCACCTCTGTGTCTGAAGAGTGTAAGTGTAAACAACGTGCTTGAGTACATGCTTATATTCCTTTATTTTTCATTGCATTAATCAAACTTTCCCCCCAGCTTTTCTGCAAAAAAATATTTAGCACCTATTTGGCAGCCTTGGGCCTCATGGGCCAAAATACAGTGCCCTGATATTTATATAATTTCATAACATATAAAGCTACATCTGTGCCAGATTTGTTGCTTTTATCACAAAATGTACAATTATTATGACTATTTCAACCTAGCAGCCCCACTATAATAGATGATATCTATCCATAATAGATAGATAGATAGATAGATAGATAGATAGATAGATAGATAGATAGATAGATAGATAGATAGATAGATAGATAGATAGATAGATAGATAGATACTCCTTCTCCACTATGTTATACTTTTATGTACTGTACATGAGTACAAAGACTTGGTAGCAAGCCCAGGATGCTGCGTCTGTATTATTTATAGTAATAGCTGCTCTCAGCTTTATGCTATTTATTAGATTTGTTGGACTTTTGGCGTTTTATGCTCTACAACATTGCAGTTTCTGTTTTGATGTCATTACAGTTTTATCTTGTCTTTCATGGTGCATGAAAGACAGAATAGTAGAATAGAAACTTAAGGTCATAAATAATCCAGGCTTCACTGCTCCTGGTACAGTTTATGCAGCGTTCCAACAGACAAGTAAGACTTGGAGTCACTTGAAAAATGTATGTTTATGGATGATAATACCTGTTAAAACCACACAGAGCACTCTGAGTCGGAAATCACAAAAGATTTCATAGTGCCGAGGTAGTCTTCTGTCACTAGACATAGCCTACAATAATTATAATCCCCAACCCCTTACAGGTTCAAAACAAGAGCTCATATGTAAAAGAAGATATAGGCAGTAACTAGGCTTGGGCCCCTCTAACTTGTGTTTTAATCCTGTATTTGCAAAGATTGCATACTTCTTTGAAATCCCTAGACCTTGCCATATTTGGTCCCTTTAATTTCTGGATATGAGAGGGATAAGTTGTAGCAGGTCTTTATACACAGAACCATAAGCAACATGGTTTAAGAAGAACATTTTAGAGGTGAAATTAAACACTTTTTCCATTTAAATTAGAAGCCACACAGTATAAATGACCACAAATGGCTTCAGGAAATAAGTAAGTACCAAGACTTTTGAATTTTTGTATATTGTTCTTACTGACACATATCTATTTCTCCAGAAGAGTGGGTAACAAGGGACAAGGGTGGCTATAATAGACTACATAATGAATGAATCTTATGCCCCTTAATCACTTCTCTCTCACTTCTCACCATTAAGCATTGCATATTAAATTACTTTCACCATGTAAAATGTGATTAGAACTGCTCATAAATGTATTTGATATTGGCAAAATGGAGAATTATTAGTCAGTTTATTCTCCTTACCATGTCAAAGACAAAACTGTAGACTGAAAGTCAATTTTTTAAAAGCCTTAAGCACAAACACCTGTGTCATATTAAGCTAATTAACAGCATTTATCAGCTATAAAAATTTAGTCATGATTGGAACAAAGCAAAACAACAGCTCTAAAGAGGCCCAATCAGATATGCTCAAGAAGATATATAATAACAGTAATGTAGGGCAGCAACTAATTTATTTATGGTGTAATTGTTTGTTAGTTTAATTAATCTATTAATATTTTTTCAAAAATGTTAATTGATTATTAAAATAGTTGCCAATTAATTTTCTGTCATTGTCTAATCTATTAATCCACACTAGGCCTAGTGTTGCAGGTCTATGCCAAACACCGACACTGACAACGAAGAGCAGCATTAAAAAGTGACATAAGAAAGCTCTATAACTCCACAAAGGTTATTAATGCACAGTTCATACAATGTCAATGTCCTTACACATTTCACCACATACCCTCCGATTTCTATGTGAAATCTGTTACCCCTGAATTGAAATCATGACTTGTATTTCTGTCTATCATGTAATTTACCGTCAGTCTGTAACCCGGGACCATCGGCGCTGCTTCCACATTGAAAAGGCACCGCTGGGATTCGAACCCAGGATCTCCTGTTTACTAGACAGGCGCTTTAACCAACTAAGCCACGGCGCCGATATCCATGGAGTTATCTGCTCTAATTCACTATCGTAGAAAAATTGAGTCGGTGGCACGTTCGATAATTGAGAAGAATGATTTATAATTAAATTATAAAGTATATTGGGAAATGATCTGCAGAGAAATGAAATTTGTCATTAAACTGGACATTTGGCTATCACTGATGAAACTGTTAACTACTCTTAATATAATATAATTTTCAGATGATGGCACTCTTGAATATATGATTAAGTTCATTATCTTTGCAAAATGTTTCTATGCAAAAACATAAATTCTCTAAATCACTAAGATCCCTTTTTCTCCTAGAACTGAAACCTCTGCTATAAATCACTCAGTTTACTAAACAACAAACTGAATATTAAGCTTTTAGATGAACTATGAAACTATTTTCCCTGAAACCTCTGACTGCACGCTTTTATTTATGTATTTGTGTGGCTCCCCTTTTTCTTTTAATTGTATGTTAACATCTGTTGTTTCACTCTATGTTCCCTGTTTTTTTATTTGTATAAAAGATTTGTGTAAATCATTACGTTAATTAACTTTAGTTTTTGTTGTAATTACGTCATTTTTATTACGGTAATTAAGTCTTAATTTATTTAGAAACTTATCAATTAATTCATTAATAATTGTAAAATTATATCATGGCTGCCATTTTACATTCCGTAAGAAAAATGAATATACTTAGAAACTAAACTAATTACATAAAGTAAATAAATCCTAAATATTATATTATTAATATAAATATTATAATACAGAAAACCCGGAGCCAAATCACCTGTTTGTGAACACATACTTGGTGAATAAAGCTAGATGTGATTTGAAGTATTTGTAAAAACAAATCCGCACTTTTAATAAAACCAAGTATTCTGTATCATAAATACAAGTGGGAAGAAACTTGATTGACAGGACCTCAACCAACCAGTGCAGTGGGAGGGCTTCAGGGTCGGATCTGTTTCCGGAACCAAACAAACATACGCACACACACACACACACACACACACGTGTGTGGGAAAAGCTGGCGTTCATTGCTGTCCGTACTCTTCTGAATATCCCCAAACTGAGGTAAGTTGAAGTAGACTTTTAGCTAGAAACACAAAGGTTTTTCCCTTTTTTTTTCTCCACACCGCTTTGCTTTTAGCTTAGCTTTGCTGCTATGTTAGCTACCTAGCTTTAGGTTAATAGATGACAATGCGAATACGCTAGCGGCTCTGCTAACTTATGAGAGGTTCAGCAATGTGCTCGTTGTGTCTTTCAGTGTCTGCTTCAAGATCGGGTCCGCATAGACGTCTCTGCAAGTGTCTGGCAGCAGCTGGGAGACAAGAAGTGTGTCTCAGGTCCACAACTGTCTCTTGCTGTCCCTGCTCCACAAA